TGCGGGCTTGGTGGGATCCAGCTTAAATTGAACCCACTGGGGAAGCCTCAGCATTGCCACTTGCAGGTCCCCTGGTCCAGATCCCAGTATAAATGCTTGTGGCAGCAGAAGGAGCCCCCTGGGGCAGGGGTGAGTCTGCACGCTTCTGTAGCAGTGCCAGGGTGGAGTCTGCGAACTCACAGTGTTAGAATTTGTCTACTTAGGCCCATTCTGGGGTTTAAATGTATTTGAGGGCTAGAGACTGTTTTTAACTGAGGGCATGCGAAGCTGTGGTGCGTGTGCGTGCCCCCAGAGCACAATGTGCAGGGATAGATGAGGTTGAAGTGGTAGCAGAATGCCCCTGTGTGTGAGATTGAAGTGATAAAATTACCTTATTTTAGTCAAACCTGAACAATTTTATATGTATCAAACATGTTTTTAAAGTTTACACTGTCACTTGTATGTGCTTGGCTGGATTAAGCTTTGTTGTGATTGTGACAAATAAACTGTTTGACATCTGTCTGTCATATTGGTATAGTTGTAATAAATGTTCATTTTTACACCATCACTGTGTGTTTATATGTAATTCTGTTTTTTGCAGAAGAAAGAAGAGGCTACTCAGTGCTAGCTTAAAAAAAGGGAAAATTTATTATAGTGCTTAACCTGTTCTTGAGCACTTTAATAAAAAATGTGTAAGTATACTGTGTCCAAGATTAGTTATTTACATCCATTTAAATTGTACAGAAAGCAATAAATTAGCAAGTTTTTGGAAGGCTTACCACATTAAACGTGAAATTGATTAAAGCCGATGTTAAAATTGATGCAGTAGTATCACTTCATTTGAAAATTAAAACCACATGTTGATTGAGAGAGGGTTCTAGATAATTCAAACTCAATATTCAGTTCCTTACATGGAATTACAAACAAGTCACTGCAACCTTCGCAGTCCTAGTCTCAACCAAAAATTTCTTGGATTAACCTGGTCTCCAGCTTTCTAAAAGAGCTGAACTGGTTGATGTTAATCAGCAAAAGCACGGGGAAAACTTGCCATCATCTGAGGGCATTTCTTAAATCTAATATGAGAGTAAAATTTTGTTTCTTAAATTTCCTGCCTTACCAGGAAGAGGTGGGAGGGAGTTAAAGCATCAGAGTTTCTGGATTGTTTAAGCAACTGATTGTTGGCTTGTGTGTCTTCAACTTCATCACTGAACCTGTCTTTACCTGGAAGAGGCTTTTCTAAACATCTGCTGTTCCTTTTCAGTTAACACCATGGTGACGGTCACCCTGTGGCTGCCTTTGTTAAGTTACATTGCGCCATGGGTCATGCTTGTATGGTTCGCTTTGTAGTCACTCTCGTAAGTTTACTGAACTGTAACCTGTCAATGTTTGGGTTTTGGGGGTTTTTTTAACTCAGAGATGGATACTGAATTCAGCTGGTACATCAGTGCTGAACAGAAGGGTATGTGGAGTAACAGGGTGTTGTGTAAATTACAACAAATTTACAATGAAACCAAAATCAGCTGCACTCTTCAGATGATGTAAGAAAGTAAATTAAACTTCTAAGTTATTAACTAGCATAGACTTTCATGTTTTGTAAGAAGTGCTGATCCAGGACAGGAAGCAATAGCATCTTTAAGCAGGCTCTTGCATTTCTTTTGGAAAAAAAGTTTAGTGCACAGGAATGTCACTGATAAACTTCAGGGCAATTACTGATGCCCTGAGCATGGTAATGCAAAATCTGAGAAGGACACCCTGTCATCAGAGGTCATAAAGCTGAGAAGTTACCCAGGGTGCATTTCCCACCACCTACCCTACAGACAAGGGAAGGACCAGAGAGGGAAGGCTGTTGTTCCCCCTCCCTAGCAAATGGAAGCTGTGCATTCAGCAGGTGGAGTTGGCTACCCCAGCTCGCTCCCTGCAATGGTGTTTAGCTGCTCTGGGCAAGCAGAAATTTCCAGAACGCAAGGGCACGCTGCTGCGAGGGAGTGAACCTGGGTCTCTGATAGCTGGACCCTGCTGGGCAGTAATGCTGCCTGTGCTTGGGGGAGTTCCTGCCACACTGTCATGCCTCTTCTGCCACTGGAAAAATGCGACCTTGCTGCCCAGCTCGTCTGTGTCCCTCCTTCCCCAGGAGCAGTGCCGGCTCTCCATCCTGACTGCTCCATGAGCAGGCCCTGTTCTAACCACCTTCTCCAGCTCTGTGTAAATACCCACTTGCATAATGGCTCTAAAGCACCTCAGTGATCCTTGCAGAATTCACAACTGAAAAAAGAATTTGGAAAGCCACTGCTTTGAAGCAGTGATTAAAAACAAAAGAACACAAACCTTGGCCAATATGAATTCACTTTATAATGTCCTTTTATGTGAAATATGCAGAATAACACACAGTGAGAACAAGCTATTCCTTGCAAATTTAAATCCTTTCTGTGTTCTTCTGGGGCTTCTCCCCTTCGGAAAAATAAAAAAGAATTAAGCTTAACATTTAAGAAACTCTAGTCTCTTTGTCTCTTCAGAATAAATAGCTCACTCAGCTAATAAGGAAACACAAAACCATGCATATAACAACTACTTAAAGATTATGAAGTAGGGAAATGATACTGAAATTCTGAAGTTAGGAAACTGGTTGAATTCCAGGTTTCATACTAACAAATGCGAACTACATGTCAGATCTACAGCACTCAACTTCTGTCTAATAAACAGACTGCATGTGAATTATAATTACAGCTACCAGTCCTACACTGCACAGGTACAGCCAGTAAGTTTGGGTCCAGACCTTAAGAAAAAAAGATGAAGCTTTAGCCACCATAGTAGCAGAAATAAAATATATTTTAAGTCTTACATGCATGTCTGAACAAGTTTTTTTGGGTTTTTTTTAAGAACTTTTAAAAAAAAAATACAGCTGCTTAGCTTCCCAGATCCCATTACAAAACTGTGGGGACAAGGAGGCTAATTACCTGTGGAATTCTCACATGGGTCTTAGCTGGCACTTGGTTTCTAATCCTACAGAAGCCGGCTTTACTGATTTCACCTGACTGGTCACAGGTTCCCACAGCCCATTCCACCACTTCTGTTTGAGCTCAGTAATTTATTTTGCTCAGAGAACACTCAGCAGTAGCCTACCACATGACACAGGATGTACAACAGACTATAGATGGCATAAGTAAGTCAGCTCTTCCACCCCAGAGCCTTAACCCGTGGGCTAGTTCAGCAGCAGCAGCATGAGTTGCAGGAGGCAGGGCAGCGCCAGTGCAAGGAAGATGTCATGGGCCTGTCAGTGATGCCTCTCAGCAAGCAGGAAATGCCATCTCAGTTCTGCTTGAGGGAACTGAACCAGAGTTTGCCACGCTCTGCACAAGTGACTCAACTAGACAAGTGAGCAACTACGAAAAAATAGAAACCTCAGGGAAAATGTCTGTAAGGTCCAGTCAGAAAAAGATACATTATGAAAAACTGGTGGTCACAAATTTTTGAAATATAATTTAAAACTTGGTGCTGTCTATCCTTGGAAATAAGCCTTTCAAACAAAGTTACTATTTCAACAGTTATGCTATTAAATTAAAATTCCTGCATCTGTTAATAACTAAAACATTTAATCAAATTAACTAAGCTACAATTCTGCCTACAATTATGACAATATATAGTGAAAGTCGGGTTTGAACTGAACATCGATACATAGCACTTTTGTTGTATTACTCCATATTGGACAACAGTTACACATGAAAGAAGGAAAATGTATAATCAGCATGCTAGGTGCACTATGCATTTAGAAAAGCAAAAATATATATATTATATCCAGAAGCAATGTTCATTCACTCTTAACTATCCTTGGGGAAAAACCTTGCTGAGAGGAATGCTATCATGAAGTTTGGAATCCACATTTTCTAGGGGACTTTTTGTTACATTGTTGGGAGTCATAACGACTGTCTATTTGGGAGCACTTCATGACTACTTCAGGCTTCTAACTGAGGTGGTCTGAACTGCACCCTAAAGGCAGGAGCCCAGGTTCTTTGGAGAGGCTACGGAGAGGGAGGTGTCTCTGCAGACTGTTCAGGGCACCTGCACCCTCAGTGCCACAGACTGCTCTCTCCAAGCATCTAAGGACGCCTGGTTGCCTAAGTTAAATACCTGAACTTAAGCAGTATGAAGTACAGTCCACCTAACAGCACAAATCTTTCATTCAAAAGTGCAGAAATACTTGTAAGGATTTATCTAATTGCAGGTACTTTGTTGACATAGCTGTCATTTAAAAAATATTTTATCCTGGTAACTTAATTTTTATGTACCCTACTCACCGCCTTGACTGCAGGGAAGGTAGGCAGTAGGGTGCCTTAAACCGTTTGTAAAATAATCCTAAAAAGGCTTTAAATCAAGTCCTCTTCTCACAAAAACCTGAAGTATTGTTTCAGGTATAAAACCCTCAGTTTCTTTAGCCACTCTGTGACCATCTTGAGCCTTCACAACTCCTCATATGCATCTTCAATTACCAGATGTGCACTTTTCTACCACTCCATCACAGAGCAGGCACGTTGTTTTCAACTACAAATTGTATGCAACCAAAAGGTATGCAAAGTATTTTCTGTCCTCACTTGGGGATTACAAGTGCATGGTCTACACTCTTACTTGAGGATTAAGGTACTGAATAAATTGATTGTTTTTCTGTGTACTTCCTGCTTGGTTTTAGCCTACTGCAATCCCTACAGGCAATTAGCTCAGCAGCTCAGTCAGGGGAGAGAGAAAAATCCAACACTTATGACCACAGAACTCCTATTGGGCAAGTATTGTACAATCAGTGAGGTCTTCTAGATCCCTTTTCTCCAACTCATAACATGATTATATTTACTTTGTCTAGTAAAAAGAGAGATTTCCCATAAACAGACGGAAAATGTAATTGGCAGTCTTCTACACAGACTTCAATTTGCAGTACGCTGTGGTGTGAATTTACAGCACACTGGCTGTTCTGTACTAACTCCTTACAGGGACAGTAAACACTTAACACACACGTAACACAGAAATAAGCATATACCAAATAAACTTTACTTCTCTTTCTATTGGTACTCGGTATGCATCCAGATGTTGCAGCAGTTCAGAGGGACAGAGTAGCTAGAGTACTTGACATTCACACCTTATATAGGACTTAAAACTTTTAATTTTCTGAAGCTTAGCACACAATAAACTAAGTTCCTTTATTAGGAAGAAACATTTTAATGTGCAAGAACACTTTATTTGAAACTCAAATGTATCTGATGCCCTATTGGAAAGATTTCTTTGTCAGGTCTACGTTTGATCAATTAGCAGCTTCTAAAAATAATTCTCACTTTGTTTTGGGAGTTTCACTATTTTTTCCTCTGCTGCTCGATCTCTTTTTACCCCTGCTCCTGGATCGAGAGGAACTCCGACTTCTGCTCCTGCTGCGTGTTCGACTGTGACTTCTGCTGCGACTGCGGCCTCTCCTCTTTCTGCCCCTGCTGTGAGACCTCCTCCTTTCCCGACTTCTTGACCTGCCAGACCGGCGCCTTTTCTTGTTTTTGCGGCGATTCTTTTTTCTCTCCGATTCTCCATTTCTCCGGTAAGAATGATCTGGGCTTGGGCTGCCCCTTCTCCTTGACCGGCTGTAATAGTCATCGCGATGGCTCGTTCTGTTTCTCCTTTCAGAGTTTTTAGATAACTGACTGGTCCGTTCAGGAGAAATACGTATGTCTCTATTGGCCTCCCAAAACTCATTGTTTGGATTTTTGAATACATGAAGAAAGTTGCAGTGTTTCCCTCTTGGACACTTCTGCCTTTCAAATAAGCCTGCAACAGATGAGGGTTTGCTTTTTTATGAACTAGATCTCTTAAATCTCTTTCTTCATTATGTACCCACTGGAAAGAAACTTATTAAACTGAATTTTGCTTTTTCAAACAGAAAAACATGCATCTGAGCACCTATCAATTTAAATCATGCAAGATTAATTTTCAGTACGTACTTTTCTTGGAATTCACTTTTTAACAGCTATGAAGGCTTTAGCTTAAAACAATTTTCATAAATAATTCTACTACCTTAATCTAAGAATGTAAATACAGATAAGTCAAATGTGATAGTTACTGCTGAGAAATGTTGATGGTTCAGAAACCGCTGTTGCTTTTGAAAGAGATAAATTAGCACTTCCTGTAGTTTCACCTTAAGATTATTATTTCCAAAGCTAGGATCCAAACTTTCTTTTACAGTCCGAGGTAAATCCACTAGAATGATTCAGACACTTATGTGACCTGGTATGAATATTCCCTTTCTTTCCTAGATCTACACAAGCAAGTTAGCATATTTGTCTTCCAAACAGAAACGAACTACAACATTAGGCAGATCTGAAAGCTACAGGCTAATTCCCTCTTTTTTACTTCCATAAGTACTCTTTCAGCAACACACATTCTCTTTTCCAAGTGTTCATGTGACTCACCACATATAGCAGTTTTCCACCTTGTCACAGGACAAAATTCACAATGAAGCTGTCGGCCTGCATACCATCGTCCACTGAACAGAGCAAGAGCTGCCTGACAGTCCTTCTCCCTTTAAAAAGTAAAAATGACACACAGCATTATCATCATTTAAGATGTTACTTACCAAGTTTAGGCTCTCATTACAGTATGAGCATTAATCACTTGGATTATAGAAACAGGTTCATTACAGGACTTTGGAGTTTACTTCTAAGACTTAGTAAGACTGCGAGTACTTACGACTGATACTGGACATACACGTTTCCTCGCAGGTGAGGCTCATAGTTGCAACTGACCTAAGAGGATGTAAACATTCAGTTAGCACAATGGAAGGTTTATGCTATACAGCAGCTCAGGCGTGCCGAGATGGCAGCCATTCTGATTTATGACAGCTCATCTATATGAACTTACATATTATTTTCTTCTGAACACTTACCAAAAAACCAAAACCAAAACAAACAAAAAAAAGCCCTTCTGGCTTATGTTTGACTGTTCCCAGCATTGACTAACTCTGGGACCTCTGCTTCACTTAGTCTACAGGAGAACTTGCATTCAGTTGTTTGTCTGAACCAACCCTACTGTGCAACAGCCAAATCCTGCTCTGAAAACAATTAGTAGTATCCTTATGTCAAATGTGGGATTCATTATGGTAAGAGAATCTTTAGAGCAGCTTACCTTCCCAGCATCCCTGTGAGATGAGTTAGAAAAGCTGAAGTCACTAGCTTTCACTGTACAATTCCAAAACACCAATGAAATCATAATGATTTAGCATTCAAAGTGTATCCACAGCTCTCAAAAATACACAATTTGACTTCCAAAAACCTTGTTCCTAGTTAGAAAAGATCCTGATGCATACAGGCCCAAGCAGACTAGAACCCATTTCTGCAGGGCAGAACTGTGAGCCCAGACTCTTTTGCCCTCAGGCCCCTTCTGATATCTGCACCAAAGGAGGCAAATGGCTCCGTTCATCACTGAGCCCTGACCGACCCTCTGAGAATACCTCTCTGTGCCCTGGGTTAGGCCGGGGCTTCACACACAACAAGCAGTTGTATAATTAAATATTACAGAATAAACAGAATAAACTTATTTGAGATAAGTAGCATCAACACAAGAAGATGCAAGAAGAGCAAGAGTAAAACCTTGGGCTACACTGGAAAGGGAAGTCAGCTGGAAGAGGGGCACGTATAATCCGATTCTAAATGGTAGCAGAGACTCGGCTAAGAGTTACAGCAGCCAAGATCCTCACAGCCAACATGTAATTTCTGAGCATCTCTAATATAATAAAAATGCCCATGAGAATCATATTACAGTTGCACAGTTGCTTCAGAAGCTACAAAATGCCACACTAAAAGCTTTTACTCTGTTATCAGTCACAGAGACCCAAGTATGTGCAACTTCCCAGAGTTGCATATAACAATGACGATACAAGTTGAGGACCTGAGTTTGACGGTAAGTAAGAGCATTTCAACCCGTGCTCCATTGGGAATCTACATCCCATCTTCCCAGATGGAGCACAGCTTGCTAATATCCCATGAGTCAAAATACAGAGGGGTACTCCTCCAAACAAGTGAAGGTTTCTTACCTATAAAGCTCATTATACAACTACTGAAAATTTGACTTATTTTCTACTTTCCTAATTTGAAATGATAATACGATCTCAGTTCTGAGGCAGCTGTCAGTAGAGGGAAACAAAAGAAGAGGCATTGTGTGCCTCCTGGTGCCTGAGGGAAAACACTCAGGAATGGTAAGCAGCAAGGGATGCTGCAGGAGGTTCTGCTACAGGGAGATTTCACCATCCAAGCTGCGTATTTTGGGGCAACATGGGACTGTTAACCCACACCATTCATCCCCAGGGTCTTCATTTACAGGTCCCTCTTTGTCCCCCATAAGAAGTCATAATGCAAATGGGAAAAATTCAGGAAAGAACATTTTGCAAACCAAACACAAACTAAGGATGGATGACAAATCTGAACACCATGTATGTAACCTACCTTTTTGTAATTCCTCCTACTGAAATATCAACTACCTTTTCAGTTCATTGTAATTTGATTTTGTTTTATCCAACAGTCCTAAAATGACATTGTTTGCGTCTATACTCCAAATACATTTTATACCCCTACTATTTCATTCCTTAGGCACAAATACAATAGCCCAGATATGTTTATATTGTCTAACAGTCTTAATGGACCCCCTTGAGGGCTTATCACAGGCTAAGTAAAGAAGGGCCTGTGAGGTAAGTGGACTGTTGACTCTTCAATTAATAACTTGCAGTAGAAAAGCACAAGCTTTTATACCAGTTCAGGGGAACGGGAGAGAAGATTCACCCAGAGTAAGACTGGTCTGTAACAGCAGTGACAAGTTTACAGGTGACATGAGAAATCCACAGTTTACTGTAAGGACACTGTCTAGTTTTGTAACGTACATGGGATTTAGCTAGGGCATGCTGGACAGAATTCCTGTTAAGGCTAGTAAAACACAACTTATGTGGTCTACATTACATATTTAACAAGCTGTTACACTCAGATGCATACCTTGAATTGAACAACCTTCCCCACGTTCTGAAACTCAGGGAGCACGTCCTCGTAGAACTCCAGGAACTGCTGGTAGGTCTCCTCGTCACTGTACTCGAGACTCGCATCCGTGTCATAGTCATCTCTCCTGCACTGCTCCATGCCAAAAGTAATGAACATGCCTCGGACGAGTAGTGTCTTACTAGATGTTGGATAGTTATGCTTGCGAGAACACCTGGACATTTGTAGTGATGAAAGAAAAGTGAGCAGATCGGTACTGTCAGCAGAAGATACACTTGTTGAAGCTTCAAACACTTGCCATTTTGAATAACAGATTTCACTTTACAAAAGAAAATCCACGAGTGGAAGATTAATTAATTCAATTATTAAAACAATATCTTTTTGGAGTGAGTTTGTGTATAATCTTAATGCTTTCTGCCATGCATAAATACATTCTTGCTAAAAAAGCACGTCTGCAAAAGCTATAGATACCAGTAACACAGTAAGAGCTAAAGGAATTTCTTTTAGGTTCCTAGGGTTAAATATGTTCTCCATTTCTGAAGGGCTTTACAGAAAGGCTACTGACAATCGTTTAAGGCAATTTAAAGCAAGTCCCCGCTGTACTTTTTGCAAACTGAACAACTTTTACTGAAGTTTTTCTCATCACATGAGGGAGTGGAGAGGGAGGGAAAGCACGTTTAGACCTGAAATCAGGTAAGTACGAGACTGATACTTTTCTGCTTAAAAAAAAAATAAAAAAAAATTTAAAAAATTGCTTCTTATAAGCAAGTCTTATCTTACTCTGCATCTTCTTGGCAGCCATAACAGTATTAGATCTCCCTCACCATCCACCATATTCAGGCAACCTCCCTCACACGCTGAAATACATTTCTTCCCCACAAACCTTCAGATTCAGTGAGAACATAGATGTCAGCCTCCATGTTTCACTATTCTTTACGAAATCCATTTCAAACGCTTCCCCAAGTAACTGGGTCATGTACTCTCCACCACATTTCTCCTTTTCATGACATGATCAGAAAAACAGTCTGACTAGTCTACTCTCTTTATCTAGCACTGTCAAAGCACAGAGAAACTGGAGGGAGGTCAAGTCTAAATGGGCAATTACAACCTAGACTTCAGATAGGAAGTTTCTTTCTACATGCAGTCAGTCAGAAATTGACTTTCACTTTCTGGTTGACACCTCAGACTTCAAAAAACAAACAACAAAAAACAAAACTCCAAAACCAGAGACAATTAGTTTGATTTTTTTTTTTTCATTGTAGAAGCTGCCTCATTCCACTATTCTGTTTGAACGACAGAACTCAAAATACTATACCCAACCAATATTGCCTGTACACAAAATGAATATAGCACATGACAGAACAAAAAGAGCCCTAAGGAAAATGAATGACCCAAAATCCAGTATCTACAAAAAATTAGAGTTTGAATTACTGGGGAAAATTAGTAATGGTAAACTCAGCCAGTTTTAGCTTCTTGAAGACATACTGAGCTTTGACAAGATTTAACAATTATTTTATTGATAACACTGGCTCTGAATTTTTCACCACTGTGGTCCATTTCAGCTTCCAACCCATTCTTCTAGACCTTATCCTCACTGTATCTCTGTCCTTCAACTTATGGTCAACACCAGAGGTTAAAATGACCAGAATATGAAGGAAGCAGGTATGTGAGGAAGAAGAAGGACAATGGAAGAGAGGTAGCCAAGATTAACAACTACAGGTGAGAGAAGAAAGGCAGAATATGGCATTTCTCAGTATTTATTTACAAGGCCTGTTCGTAGTTCAAAGCAAAACTGATTTTTATCCAATCCATAATTATGGAGGTCACCTCCATTAAATACCACTTAAACAAAAGTACTGCAAAGATTACAAAGAGCTAAACATTTGACAAGCAAAAATGCTGCCTGCAGTGAAAGAGCTGGACAAAGTTTTATTTAGGAATTCAACACATATTTCAGAATAGCAAAAAGATGTGGACTTGAAGCTTCCATAGAGTTGAATTATCACATAATTATCCACAATATACATCACACTAAAACAAATTACTTCTAGGATAAAGAAAACTACAATAGATGGACCACACATGTTTAAGTGATACAAATTAATAAAATAGCCCTACTAGTTTATGCTGAAGATTCATGTAAATAGTATCAGTCTTTCCCTGCTGAGCTATTGCTCCTCCTTAACACACACAAAAACGCAGGGATTTTCTAGCCAGATGCCGCATTTGGGTCGTCATCTTTAATGGTTACCGATGAACCTGTAATTCATGAAGCCATTTATACTTTTGTCTTCCTCCATGTCCTCTGGCAACAAGTTTTGCCATTTGTTTTGTATGAGAAAGCACTTTTTAAAAACAAAACACAACAAAACAAAACAACCAAACAAACAACACCTCAATCTGGTAAACACACGGGGACACCTAATTAAACTGTTTCATAATAAAAGCAAATAATCCTTCCCATCCTACTCATGAATTCAGTGTTCATCTACCGCAGCCCTCTTCCATCATCTCTTTGAAAGCAGAGTCTAGACTAGTCAGCCATTCCTCCTACAGAAGCTGTTCCTCATCTCTGATCATCGTCTTGTCTTTCTCTCTCCTTGCCTTTTACCATACTTCCTTTCTCAGACAGGCCACTCATAACAGTATAAAACCCCCCCATAATCAAGAATTAATGTATCACGCATTTAAACAGTGCAAAACCAGGAGAATTCTGGAAGCTACACGGCAGCTTTCTCAACTGTGCAGATGTACCTTAACTTGCTTTAGTCCATTTGAGATTTGATTTTATTTTTTAAAAGATGCAGCATATGCAAATTAGACAAGATAAAAGACAATATATGAGATCTCAGGCTTGTACTAATTGCAGAAATCAAATATATTCTGTCTGAATGTACCTGTGCATCTGTCAGAGCTAAGGAAGTCAGTTTGACCAGTGTAACCAGAATGCACCACAATAATATGCCATAGCAATAAACAGTTCAATTCCAGCCAGGCAACGCTTTTGCTCTCAATGTCTCGTTCCATCATGAACAGCAGAACCACATCGAAATACATGGAAGTAATTTATATAGCAATTTTTCTTCAGTTTGCATATGACCTAATGAAGTTGCTTCCCTTTCATCTCTCCAAAACAGTTCTGTGCTGGTAAATATTCAATCGATTACCTGTCTCCAAATCGGCAGGAACCTGTTTTGATATAAAAGGGGCAATTTGCTCTGTCCTTCTCTGTTCCTATATTCTCTGGGGGCTCTGGGTTATGCCACGTCACACCATTCTCCAGCTGTGCAAAAAACATTAAAATACACAGAAGTTAGAAAAGAATAAAGAGATGTATTGTCAAAATAAAACTACCAATTAAATCCACATGCAATTATGAGCACTGTGTTACTACAAGCCAAGCTGAACCCAAACATTTTATAAAGCTGCCCAGCACCTTAGGTCTCTGGTGATGGAAACTTATTTTTTTCATAATTGTTCAGTTTTGAGAACAGGTCTACATTCATGATTTCTTTTTCACAAAAGAAAAAAAAAAAATCACCAAACTGGATGTTTTCTTTTGCTGAAGGAAAAGTTTCTCAAAAATTTATAACCAAAAGAGTTGCAACAATATTTGCTCCTCAAACAACGACTTAATTTGTCATCTACAAGAATTTCAAATATTGGGACAGATTCTTTCCATGGAGGTAACCCCGTTACCAACTTCACTCCCGAATCCACTGAGCAGCACTTTATACAGCTGGCAGATAGAAAGCTAGGACTGTTTACTTATTTGTCTTTGCAACAGCTCAAAGGTCAGTAAGGTTATCACTATCATGTTTCATGCAGCTAGAAAAGGCTAAAATAAAAGTAACCTGCCAAAAGCTAGAATTAAAAAAAAAAAAAATCAAATCATAGTTTGCACTGGAATTAAAAGCCTCCATACAGCTTATCTCAGGCCATCAAGATTTCTGTAATTCAAAATGGAATTATCAAGTTGCAAGTGTTGACTCAGTACAAGCAAAACATCCATTTTAAAAAGGGAATTTTCATTTTGTTAGCCCAAAGATCTGTAAAGCTAACTAGCCTAAATTCTCATTTTAAATCATCTGGAAGCTCTGTTTATTTACAAGCAGTATTTGACCCTGCTACCAGTTCTGTTCATGACTCTCAGACATAATTTTCTTTCAATATAATAGCACTGTCACTTCAGCAGTGTCATCAGTAAATAACTGAACCCTGAACTGATGCTATGATGAAGTCTCTAACATACCACATTTCTGCCTATTCCCTTGCAGAAATGGCTGCTAATACATCTTGAGCTCTGGGCAGGTAATAAATAGTTCAGAGCATTTTTCTACCCATGTTATGAAATAAAAGAGTCAGATTCCCTACCTAAAACACTGTTCAAACATAATTTGTAACAGAATGGAACTCCAATGTGGCTATGACAATCACCATACATGGGTTAATTAGGTTAAAACTTAATTTCAGATTCATGCAGTGGTTTAAGCAGACCAAGAACCTTCACAAGTTTAACCACATGACAGGGATAAAAAGCCAAATTATTCTCGAAGGCAACAGGAAAGACTGAATTCATCTTGTCTAAGATTCAAATGAAGAATGCAGTTTTCTTTACTACACACTGCCAGCTTGAGATTCATGCTCTTCCAGGCACCCGAGCAGTCAGCTTTTTCCTCCCCCACCTTCTCCCCCCCCCGCTTAAGGATCTGTGCCCTCCTCTACTACTGAATCCTTTCATTTAGAGCCTGCCATCTGCTTAAAAAGACAAGGTTGTCTTGCCACCCAGAAGGACTGGCAGATTTATTTAGAATTCTAATTCACAAATAAACCATCACGCACAGCAGTTATTTCCAGACTCATTTTGACTCAGATCTCCTGAACAGGAGTAAGCTTGCACAACTGCACTGTCACCAACCAGCCAGAAATATGCTTAATTATGTTGCACACAGTAAATAATTGTTTACAGCTCATGCAAGCCACTATTTATTAAATTTATTCAGGCTGTTAGGTTCTTGAGAGCAGATGGACAACATGCTGGAAGGCAAACACTGTACAGACATTAAATTACTTTTCAGTTCTTTATCAAAACATCTCCGAGCATACCTGGCTTTCAGCTTGATCCAGCATCCTCTGCACAGCTGCCTACAAACGGTGCAAACACAGGACTAGTGAAAACCCTGAGGACATGCAAAACATCTGGCTTCTTTAGTTAAGAACCTAATTTACAATACTCAATGATTATGCATAATAAAAGCATGATGAACTTTGCTTTAAAAACCAAAGTTTTACTTTTGCTCTGTAGCAATTCCTGTACTACAACGCTGTCAAAGGATACATCAGCCAAGACCCTCATGTAGATGATTTTCTAATCTAAATGCTAGACAACTTTAAAAGTTTTATTTTCTTCTTTTTTAAAACTATAACTGAACTATTGAAAACTTAAATATATCTCCTGCTCTAGTACTCAGTCTGGTTACAGTTAAATTCATAATCATTTAGCTGCACTAAACTTTTAACCTTAGAACATTCTATATAACACATAGTGAGCTCAGTGAGCCTCTGTTAAAACAAAACATGTAACTCTTAAGAAACTTTACCACGTTCACCGTATCTAGCCTTCCAAATACAGGAAAACAATAAGGATTCTTTCCCTTCCTTCTTCTAAGTGGGCTGAGCAAAACAATAAAGTCACTCTCCAAGACTGTCTGGAAATTAGTTCTAACAAATTATTCTAGGAAATTCCAAGAAAAAAGACATTTAAATATAACCAATACAAGAAAATATGTTAGCATTGTTCTAATGTGGAAGAGAATTAATTAAATTAAAAAAGAGGAAGAGCAAATAAAAATTTAAAAATGCAATCCAAGATGAGGACCCAGGCAGCATCTGGTACTAATAATCAAGTATGTCAGATAATCTCCACCCTATTTAATAAATAAAAAAATAACCAACCCCCCAAAAACCCCACCAATCCAGAAAATGTATTTTCTCATCTTACAGAGGAAAAAGAAAAAAAATTTTTAATCAGTAAGTCAGAATTTAAATGAACTGCTGTTTTAAGAGACAGGCCAAATCAATTAAACAACTTTCTGCTGCTGAAATGGGTGGCTCTACAATCCCAGCTGGGCACTCAGTTCCTCTCTAGAGGTGCCTGTCAGCGCTCTCTATGTCACTTTATCTCACTAAACCAGTAAAATAGCAACCCTGAAAAAAAAACATAAACAAAGCACAAACAAACCAACAATCACCAAAAAAGAAAGCAGCTTCCATCTAGTTCAGGGAACTCAGGGCTTGGACAAACTGAGACAGTGGAGAGTGAAAGGAAAAAATCCTGCTGTTACTATGGTTCAACTCTCTTGGAACTTAAATAAACCACGTGACTGTCATTTTCTCTCCCTACTCTGCAAAAAGAGAAATGGACACTTAACACAAGACAAAGTAAGACAGGAAATACAACAACTGCTGTTCTTTTTCATTCCTCATGCAAGCCTTACACAATCAGTGACACAACCAACTATTAAATGCAGGAGACAATACTGTTTGCTCATGTCTTCTCCTGAAGTGGCTACCAGACACAGTAGCAAGACCTCTCCCAGTGAAATGACTGGAATCTTTTCCAATTGTGGAGAAGCTAAAATGACCAGATCCTATAAAGCTGCAATCACCCTTTACTGGCGATAGGCCAGTCGTCCTCACGTTGGATTTCTGTACAGGACATTTTACATCCAGGTCATTCAACTTCTAAAACTTAAGGAGAATGTATCATTAACAGAAATGTTATCAATGACTAGTATCTTCAGTATCATTTTTTTCTCCACCCAAAGAGCTCTGAAAAAAAGATACGTCCTGTTGGATGAGTCAGGTAAAGAAGAGCTGTAATACATCTTTTGATTAAGAACTGTGTTAAGGAACAGCAGCAATGTAATTCCATATTCCATATCCTCATTGAGCATTTTCTTCAACAATGGCTGTGTTCAACTGGGACATTAAGCGATGTGAATGCATCAGAACCTGCATTCACAGCGTGCCTCTGTATGTTACAACTGATGGAAAGAATGACATACTATGAATAACCAGATGTGTTAAAACTAGTTCCCTTTCTAGGGATATGGATTCACTAGATCCTCTTTAACAGTCAATAATAGCTTTGGGAATTTAGATAGAATGGAGAGAAGTAACTAACACATTTATACTTTTATATTTGCTAATTAGAATAAAATCCATCTTCAACATGCATAGCCTGTTGCATCTGATAATGTAAGAGGATATGTAACATGCTTATGCTCCCACTGCCAGGAATCACCTCTCTCTCTCTCTTCTCCTGTTGCTTCTGCTGTGCCACTTCTTTCTCTTTTCTTTGCTGCTCTTCCCATTCTTCTTTGATCTTCCTCTTTATCATAAAAAAAAAAGGAAACAAATGCTTTGGAACAAGTCAAATTCAAAAGTAGCATGTTGTATTACAACTCCTTGACCATTAAGTTTTCATCCAGTCATAAGCAACTACGTCTCTGGACAAAAGCCCTTTTAGAGTCTTTTTTTCCCCTCTTTAATTTTGCTCTTCTAGAATGGCAGAAAGAAGAGCTTACACTTTCAAACATACCAACATCAAGAAAACTGACTCCACTACAGAACAGTAAAAGATATTACGCTAAGTCTACCTTATTGCCAGATACAACTGTAAGACTTTGTTTATACGTCACCTCTTCTTCTTCTTGACGTTTCCTTGCAGCCTCTTCTTTTTCTTTCTTAAGCTTGAACTCTTCTTGGGCCTTTTCTTCTCTCAGCAACCACTGCTCATGTAGTTTTTGTCTACCAAGGAAACCAGACACCACTTAGACAAAATTTAATGACTACCCACACCTGATGCAATTGTCATGCATACAATTCAAATGCATTAGTTCAGCAAAAACTACAGCTTATCTCATCTTCTTTAAAAGAGAAAATTCTATAGGAATAGTTCAGGCTTTAGAGGAAAACTGTGTAGCCGGAAATATACAAAAAGAATTCTGTTTTACAGAATATACTGGAACTTCTCAAAGTATCAAAATGAACTGACTACAAATGTATCTACTGCATATATGCAATTTTCTATATTTTTCACCTTTCTGCCTCAAGTTTTTTTTCTTCTTCTTCTTCCTCCTCCTCCTCTTCCAATTCCTCCTCTTCCTCCTCAGACACTGATTCATCTTTTTCTGTAGCTTCTAAGAAAGAATACAAAACAATGCATCTAAGTAACTGGATGTTATAGTCAGCAAAGATGCACAAAATTATATCATTTTTAAAAATAAAAAGGAAAAGAGAAAGAAAAAACAGAATCATTACTAGTTCCACTGACAATACAAAACACTTCACAGTTACCTGAGTCTCTTAGTTTGGCAAGCGCCTGCCGCTTTTTTTTTCGCTTTTCTTTCTTCAGAATAGCTCTGTATTTTTGATGGCTGAAGATGAAGAATATTATTTATATTAAAACAGCCAAACAAAGGATTTTTACAGTTATACATGCACTCAATTTACATCAGCAGTACAAAACCCCACAAACCGCAAAATTAACAGCTATTTGTATGAAACAGTAACTCCGAGGGAACATCTGACATGACAATGAAATCTACAGCTACGCTATTCGAGCTGCATGTGGACAGCAGCAATCATCAAATTCAGACACAACACAGAAGGTCTCATCCTTCTTGAGCTCTGCAGTACTTGATGTTATCACCAACTCCATGAAATCTCCCATAGTTCCTGAAACTTGGTCACTAGATAAGATCAGGGAGAAAAATTTAGGGATATCCTACCCTATAATTCTGTCACACCTTTCAGCACACACTACTCTTTCTTTCTTTTACAGGGCATGAAATTTTAAGTCTCTTCTCCCTTGATATTCTCTACAGGCAGCAATCTTAATGTACGGATAACAAAAGCACACTTCACCACCACAGGCAATACTCAGGCCTACTCTTCTGCTACTGAAGCTTGGACAGACTCATCCTTGCTTGTCTGACAGCTCTGCAAGGCTGCCTAGAAACAGCACCATGTTTTCATTATGGTTAAAAACCCTCTAAGTATTTGAAAGCCTTTTAATATCACCCACTTCTCTGTCATTTTTCATTCCAGCCCTCTTCTTTCTAGCCAGTTCGTAATAGAAAAATAGGAGAGAGGGATGATATTCAACTCTGGTCATTCTGCCACACCAAATATTGACAGGAGGTAGGTCAATATCTTCCTGGTTTGGACCACATAATTTTAAAAGATTCCATAGTTGTAACTCAAGACAGCCAGACCCGGACCACATCCCTACCCCTTCCGTGCAGGGTTACTCACAACCTCACCATCGGCACACCTCTGCATGCCATCACCAACACCGTGGTGGTTGTCTTGGCAGCAGAGCTCTTGTCCTCAAAGCCCAGCGCCTGCCTGCGGGCTCCGCCCACACCTGCACCTGCACCTGCAGGCTTTCATCAAGCCAGCCCAGCGACTCCTCCTGTCATTAATGTCACCTGCCTGAAACGAACCTCAGCCACTCAGCACGTACCTAGGGCTGACAAGTGGGGATGCTCCTTCCCAGTTCCCAGATTTTTTAGGTGCTGCTGAAGCCCAAGAGCGAGCACAACTCTCCTGGCACCCAGGCCACAGCAG